GCTGGTAGTTAAGTTTAGAAGTTTCATGCAGGCCCACACATTTGTACCCTAAAGTTCAGAGTGGGGAAGCAGCCTTGACACCAACTATATCGAAATTTTATTTAGACTTGTGCACAAGTTATAGATATAGTTATACTCACATCCTTAACAATATTCTTAAGGGCTGAGGCTCCTTGCCAGATCATCGTCAGTAGCGGGGTGGTTCCTGCTGGAGTTTCCCATAGGGAGCTCAATTTTCTTAATCTGTGCACCCTGTTTTTATATTGCGATTCTGACTATGTCTCATTAGCATTTACACACAGTATGGCCTGCGGTTAGAGCATGTGTTAGAAAAATGTCACTACCGGGGATCTTGTAAGCAAAAAATTGCTCTTATTTGTTAATTTTTCTCAATATCACCCATAGGTACATCTTTCCCCATAATCTTGTGGCATAGGGTCATTGTTTGGTCACTTACTTATGTCAAGCATTTCTTAAACCTATGGCGTAGTATGGCTAAGCTAAAATCTTACAGGCCTCAGGCTGTAGGCCTTGCATTTCTCCCCTCCTTACTTAGACACCTAATACCTAATTATCCCTTCTAACTACTGATCAATCTTATACTTCTGTAACCCTACAATTTAACTCTATTTACCATACCATGATTATATATGACATGACATGTTAGTTAATCATAACATCACACAATAAATGAACAGTCAACCAAAATCATTGGGTACACATCCATCTATCGAGCCATCCATCTGCAATACCCAGCCAGGCATCCCTCTGCAATACCCAGCTATCTCACCACTCACACTAGAAGAGATGGACGCTCCTCTCTAAGATGTCAGCTTGTGCCAAGTTTCCTTGATCTTGCGGACATATTTGAAGACTTTGGTGAACACCCTGGGTGCTGCCATGGGAGACAATGCCCTGGGCCTTCCCTTCACAGACCAGGGGCCCTTGGAGTTTCCCTGAGAAGCAAACATGGGGCATAGGGTTACTGATGTCAAAGCAAAGAGCAGGCTGCATTCTGTATTCACAGTTCTGAAATCCAGCTCTGAACCGCACTTCCGGGTGCCTCACGGTCAAGTCAATGCCAGGACTCGCTCAGGGCTCCCATCCCATGGTCCAGGGATCCAACCAGCCCCTGATCCTGATTTCTAGGATCTGGCCAGTTCCATTATCTGATTTCTAGAATCCATTCCCAATTTCTTTAGTCTGATCAATTCCTGTCACTGATTCAAAATCCTGATTTCCAGCATTTGGCTGACTCCTGTCCTTGATTTCTAGGATCCAACACTGATTTCTCAGATCCACCCCTGGGTTCTGGATTCAGCAATTCCCCTCTCTGACTCCTAGGATCTGGCTGATTCCCAACCTTGATTTCTAGACTCTGTCCCTAACTCTTACGATCTATTCCTGATTTCCAGGATGTAGCTGATTCTTGTCCCTGATTTCTAGAACCTGTTGAGCCTCCAGTTGATTTATGTCCCTGATTTCTATTATCTGGCCAATTCCTGTCCCAAATTATTAGGATTTATTCCTCATTTGTAAGACCTGCCTGGTTCTTGTCCCTGATTTCTAGTATCCATCTTTGAGTCCTAGGATCTAGTCAGTTCTGATTCCTGGTTACCAGGATCTGCATGGCTCACCATGGATCCTGGCTAGCCCCATTGTGCCCAGCCCTGTTGGTCTCCTGTTCTAGCAGCACCTTCCCCCAGGCACCGCATGCCCCTGTCCCACATTCACCCGGAACAATGCCCTCCTCTCCTGGGCCCCCCCAGCATCCTGGACGGGGCATAGTGCAGATATGGCTGAGACAGACATGTACCCTTGCCCATGATTTTCTGTTCCACCTCCTGCAGCATCGGGGAGGGCTGGACATTTTTCTTCATACTAATCAGGACCCAGCCAACCACAATGTTGCTGGGCCAAAGGGCCCGAGGGGGGCAACAGCGGGGTTCGTTGCCCGGTGTGCTTCACACCAATGAACACACTGAGGTGGAGAAGCAATCCAAGTTTATTCGAGATCTCGAAAAGGCACTCAGGAGACCAGCATGTCTCAAATCAGGAGCGCAACAAATACAAACAAGTTTCCCATTTTATACTCCAAGCTGTTTGTGTGCAAGCCTTTGTTTGGTTTCACCCCTACCCCTCCCTCCCAGACAACAGTTACAATAGGCACTACATTGGTATGTGAGAAAAGTTCTTGTTC